ATCCGGCACTGCTTGCGGACCTACGCCACGATTGACAAAACACGGGACGCCGAGGCCCTGGTCGGTCAAGTCCTGGTGAAACCATACATGGATGAGGTCTGTGCCCCCAGCGCCTTCATCCAGCAGACGTTCCCGGAGCATCTCCTCTGTCTTGGCGGCCTCCCTGGGTGTGAGGGGATACATCAGAGGAAAGACCTCTGCAGATTCTCTGTAAAGATTCTCCTAGTCACTGCAGTGTCAGTTGTAAGGAAGGGCTGGTCCCTGGTGGTGACAGCCGGCGTGCCAGGAGTCGGGCACCCTCTCGTGTGTTGCCTTGCGATGCTGTAGCCCAGGGGTCGTCTTCATTTATTGGGGCGAGGGTCTTGCCTAGGGAGAAGGTCTGTGTCAAAACATTTTTAGGTCAGTTTTATGGTATGTAAATTATACGTCAGTGAAGCTTGTAGAACACATTTCTGAACCACTGGTCCAGTGGGTGGAAGAGGACGGTTAGGCAGGTGACAGCGCTGCACACAAGTGCCCGGGGGAGGAGCGTGTGAGAGCCGTGAGCACGGAGGGGCATCCGCAGAAGAGGTGTGGCCGAGGTCTGGAAGATACTCAGGAGTTTGCGGGCCAGGATGGTAGGAGGGAGAGGATGTTCAAAGGTGAAGGACTTTTAGAGGCAAATTGGCAGAGTAATACCTTAAATCCAGAATTGAGTGTCCACTGTCCTTCACCTCCTAGGATGCAGTTAAAATTTGGAAATAAGCATATCATGCCTTTGAGCAGCCAGAATGTAGATTGTACCGTGTGAAGTTGTCAGTACTCAGCATTTTGCGACACACAAAAATGGCAACTTTGTCTGCTTCAAGCTGATAGAAGTCACAGGCCCGTCCTCGGTGTTGGCGGACTTTGTTCAGTCACCCCTCAGTGTGGGAAGCGCAGAGTCCTGCTTGCCTTGACTTTGGGATGAAGGTCTTCCGTTCTGAATGGGAAAAACTGAATCCCATTGATAAAAATGAGACTTAAGGCCTAATTTCAGCAATCCTGTCCACTTCATCAGGGTTACTTAGGAGCAAGTGGTCTGTCACTTCCCTCTGTATCCTGTATTTATTAGCTGTCTCTATACGGGTGAAAAAGACAAATCACCTGTATTATTTCTTTCTCAGTAAGTGAAAATGGTTACTAATTTATGCCTTTGTTTTTCACTGAACTGAACCTAACGTGCTAAATTAAAGATGCATTTGGCATTTCAGTGGCACATGGTTTATTTATTCAGTAAACAAACCATGGCCACATTTTAATTTCATGTACATTCATAAGCTTATCTTACTGTTCACCCCTTGGCTCTCAACCTTAACACAGAAGATGAAACGCCACAGTAAAATGTGTCTTCTTCCATCTTCCTCTGTCTCTGACCTTCCCCTGATCTGAATGATGGTAGAAGAAGAGACCAAGGTCAAGGTGGTGAGGGGCCGGTGTCGTGGGGAGTCGTCGTCTTACTTCCCTTTCCGGCTCAGAAGGGAAGCAGATGGCTGTGCCAGGCTTTCAGTGTCAGGCCAGCCCATCACCCAGCCTGTGCCCCCGCAGCAGAGCCGTGCGCCCCGATCCTCGGAGCTAGTTCCGAGGGTGACTATTGCTGTTACAAAACATGTTAATCTGGGGGGGGGGGAATGAGGAAACCTATTTTTAAGATTTTCTTTATTCTTCTCTCTGTAGCATATGATTCATACGTCTCTTTCAGATGTATTTTTAAAAAGGATATTCCTTTCAACAGGTGATCATAGAGCAGATTGCTGACACTCATCCAGGTGGCCTTCAGCTCATGTACAGCAAACTCCTGGAGTTTGTCCCCCACCACTGCCGCCTTCTTCGAGAGGTCACGGGAGGCGCCATCTCAAGGTAGGTCACTCGTCAGGTCGGGGGGAAGCGGGGACTGCCCCCGGTGACTCCTTGCATGTTAGTGAGTATTGCCGACTTGTAGGGCCTGGGTTGCAAGTCCTTTCCTGTTTAATTGCCAGCACGGAGCTGTGGGGTGGCTGGGGGTCACTAGCTTCATCTTACAGGGAAGGATGCTGCGACCGGTGTGTGAGGTGAAGGACACGTCTCTCTTGAGCCCAGGACCAGTGCTCTTCCCGTCTCTGTACTTTTTCCTCAGTCAGGTCTTAAGTAAAAACTGGTTTCCTTCCATTATTCTAATGTCATAATCTGTTTATCAGTATCAATTCAGTTTAATTTAGCAAATTCTATGCTAATGTGATTAAAGTCATCTTCACTTTTGTCTCCTTTTATCTGATTTCCATACTTTTTAGTTTTGTTGCACGAATATCCCACCGCCTTTCACTGTTGCCACTGTCCCAGTCTGGGCTTTTACCATCTTTTGTCCAGGAGAACAGGGTCTTCCTGCCTTATCTCCCTGCCCCCACCCTCTCCCTCCTCAGTCTGTCCCCCGGCTGTCCCTGGATCCTGAGACTCAGAGTACCTTCTTCCCAGGTCTTCAGTGGCTTCTCGCTGGTCCCTGAGGAAGATCCAGGCTTCTGGACGCGGCGTGCAAGGCCCTTGATGCCATGGGCTGGGTGGCTGTCCTGCGTGGGTCTCCTGCCTGTAGAACCCGCCCTTCTGCCGCTGGTCACCAGCTCACGGTTGCACCTGCTGCCCCAGCTCACACCGTGACTTCTCTGTTTTGCCTCAGAGCCCCTGCCTTTCCCATTCCCTCTGTCTTTCTGTTGATTTGTCACTCCACGTGAAGCCCCAGCTCAGATGCCACTTCCTTCAGGAGACCATCCTTTATCCTAACGTTGAGCATGAACCCTGTTCTCTGCCTTCCACTGCGTGTGGCTCTGACTTCTGTCGAGGACCAACCTCCATCTTAGCTGTGCGCTCCTCTCCTGCCCAGCCCACACCTCCCCTCCTGGCACAGCGTCCCGAAGACAGCAGCTACCCAGTGTTTGCAGAATGACAGAATTAACCTGTTTGCAGGTCTCTGTCTTCATAGAGTAAGCATTGTATTTGACCTTGAATTTTCATCCTTCGAAAAAAAAAAAAAGTCTGGAGGATAAATACGCTGTTTGACCTGTGAAGTCTCCTCTATTTCCACTCCACGATTTCAGGTGAAGCCCAGTCTTGCCTCTTTTGTTTAGGCACCGTGAAGATTTAGTTGGATTTGGACTTGGGGTAAGAATTCAGTAGAAGTCACGAGGCAAAATTAAAAGAGCCACAGTTGTGAAACAGCCGGTCATTAGATTTGATGAGGCTGTGGTCCTGAAATGGCAAGTTTCAGAGCCTCACACGTTCTTGCCCACAGTGCCCAGTGTGGCAGAGTTCTCGTGGAAGCCTCAGGAGTTTGAGGACTCTAGCTTGTGCCTTGGTGGGTCACCATCGCCATGCTGTCCCTGCCTCCCCTCGCTCAGCTTCTGCCTTTAGGGGCCCTTTCTATCTCGCAGCCCCAGCGCATCCAGGACTTGCCTTCCAAGAAATATGGATCGGCTCTTCTAATTGTTAATCTTGCAGATTTAAATGTTCTCTTTGGGGAAGGCCTGTATCGCTATAAACTTCCCTCTTAGCACTGCCTTTGCTGTGTCCCATAGATTTTGAGTGGTTGTGCTTTAATTGTCATTTGCACACTGCCCAAGGCAATCTGCAGATTTAATGCAATCCCTGTCAAATTGCCCAAGACATATTTCACAGAACTAGAACAAATCATAATAAAATTTATATGGAACCACCAGAGACCTAGAATTGCCAAAGCATTACTGAAGAGAAAGAAAGAGGCTGGAGGAATAACTCTCCCAGGCTTCAGACAATACTCTAGAGCTACAGTCATCAAGACAGTATGGTATTGGTACAAAAACAAACATATAGACCAATGGAACAGAATAGAGAGCCCAGAAATGAACCCACAAACTTTTGGTCAACTAATCTTCGACAGAGGAGGCAAGAATATACAATGGAATAAAGACAGTCTCTTCAGCAAGTGGTGTTGGGAAAACTGGACAGCAGCATGTAAAACAGTGAAGCTAGAACACTCCCTTACACCATATACAAAAATCAACTCAAAATGGATCAAAGACTTAAACATAAGACAAGATATG